TCAATTATGTCATGGGCTCCCCTCATGGTCTTTACCTGCAATGCCATGGGCTTTCCCCCCATGGTTTGGCATCTAATTACCACTGGCTCCCTCCCTGGGGGTCTTCCATGCAAGTATCACAGAGCCAACTAGCATACCACATAACACGTAACGGGCCGGAATTGGTGCCTTCGACCCATGGGTATTGTGAGAAGACTCACCTTGCACTGTTTAATTATACAAAAACACTTTTGGTTTACGGCTGGTAGATCCACGAACTATCAATAGCAAAAAAACACCCAATTAACATTTGGGTTCTAATCCATAACCACAACTCCCTACCTAGGGTAAAAATATCATTTTACCCCTAACCTAGCCTTGTCCAAAACTAAGACCCAAACTCACAATCTGAAAGGCCCAAAGTCCAATGAGTCAACCAATGGCCCAATTTTCCTAATTGGGCCCAAACCCATTACATGGGTCTTACCTTAAGGCCCAATCATTCTTTCTAGTCCAATACACTTTGCATTCTGATGGCCCATTAACCGATAATTATCCAAAGCCTAATTATGACCCACTTATGGTCCAATTTTCCAAATTGGGCCCAAAACTCTCCAATGGGCCTTACACTAAAGCCTAATAATTTCCTTAGTCCAAAAGCTTGGTTTTAGATGGCCCACGAAGGCCCATAACAACTAGGTCCAAGAAATGGCCCAAACCGAGACCTACAAGTGCAAAGTCCATTCTAACTGAGTACGCAGGGTGTACCCAGTTGTACACTACGCGTACACACTTGATGGCTTGTACGTTGCGCATACATGCGTGTACACCCAACGTACTCCTCTATTAAGCTCACTTTTTCCATTAAGCACTTAATGCCTAGCTCAAAGGTTCAAACCACAAAGCTGAGTCCTAAATAATGTCTAGACCCATAAAGTCACTAACTTGGTGACTTTGCATTCCCCAAATGAACCCAAACTCAAAATATAACATTATACTATCATGAAAATGGCCCCAACTCATGCATGGATGGATTTAAACTCTAAAGGTGTCAACTTTATGGACTTTGAACCTCAGAAACACTAAGAGGGGCAACTCAAAGCTCTTGGAATGGAATCAAGACCACTAGATCTCATTCATGGGATCAAAATGAACCAAAACTCATAAATGGTAGATCTAAGACATCAATGATCAAGTTCAAAGCTTTTTACCTCCAAAAGCTGGAAATGAGACACATAAGCAAGATCCATAAGCTCTTCCTTGATTCCCATCCTTGCACCAAGCTCCATCTTCTTAGAAATTGACCAAATACACCAAAAGCTCAAGATGCCACCATGAAGGCTTAAGGACGATTTCTAGGGTTTTAGAGGGTGGGGGATGACTTAGGAAATGAAGAAAGAGGCTAACATTATGCCTATATAGGGTATAACCCTAAAATTAGGGTTTTAAATCTGCCCCTTCATATGCCCAACGTACCACCTCGTACGCCCAACGTATGAGGTCTCGCACCCCTACCCAAACCTTGTACCTACGCTGCGCGTACTATACACTACACCTTGCATAACCGGCTTCGCATCAGTACTCCCTGCGTACCTCCCTGGTACCCCCGCATACTAGATTTTCCCCCAAACCCTAATTCTTTCGAAGGTTATAACTCTCTCGATACAACTCCGACTTTGACCATCTATATATCCATAAAATGGTATTGAGACACTCTATACTATTATCAATTCATACTCGCCATATAATATCACGAACGAACATCCGCTTTCCATAAAAGCACGAGCTGACAAATTACCAAAATGCCCTTAGATTCCAAAACACAAACCGAATACCCGAACCATTCGAAATACCTTATCCAACCCCAACCGAGTCCAAAACCCAACTCCTCAAGGATTTGAAGCCTAATAATACCTAGTCCTAATCACTATCCCCAACCTGGGAACAAATCGAAATGAGGCGTTACATGTAACCTCTTAAAAAAGAAATTATACAACCCTAGTTTTAAGGTTAAATTGATTCATGTTATTATTTCGTTGAGAATTCGGGGGAAGTAGTTGTGTCAAGGAGAGTTAACGATGTCAGTGGTTACGGTATTTAGGGTTATTCACCAGATATGCTACTTAATCTTCATCATCAACATCGGCATCCGATTTCTCATTCTTCTCACTGATTTCTCCTTCTTCGTCTTGCTCTGATTTCTTCTTTTCTTTTGTATGTTTTTATGATTTGTTATTGTGTTTTTGTTATGTGATTTTACTATGTTTTAAGGTGTTTAATGCCCTCAAAGTGGGGGTTTTATGTTTGTTAATGGCTTAATTCCTCTTCAAATTGATAGCTAGTTTGTTATTCACTTGTTTAGGATTTTAATTCAACTGTACATAGCATTACTTGGCCCAAGAGCTAAAGGAACTGTGGGAACAAAACTGATTTGTCTTCAAGTTTATGTTAGGTTTATTTATATAGTTATGTTAATGTTGAAGAATTCTCACAGTGTTTTTTTTTTTTTGGTTTTTTTTTTTTATTTGTTTTTTTTATTTTGGTTTTTTTTGTTGCTGAGATCATTGAAACAAATATGAAGAGAAGATGTTTGATGAAATGCTCAAATGAAAAAAAAAACATTTTGTAGTTGTATTGAACTAGATTTTCCAAATTTATAATGCCTTGGTATATTTGGAACTAAAATCAAGTTTGCAGTGAATTTAGAACATATATGATTTCTTAACTGTATACATTTTAATGTGATTTTAAGATTTTATGTCATGATGATTCATACACTTTAATATGATTTTAAGATTTTATACCATGACGATTCATACGAGACAACTTGATTTTTGATGTCAAGTTTCTCCAAAAGACTAAATCCTCTTTAAACTTGCAATTCATGAGAATTTTTAATGTGATATGTGTAGTTTCTAATGTATTATAATGATAAAGATATTGAATAAGTAACTTGGATTGGGCATGATTTTGGTTCTTAAAACTTTCCAAGTCTATGCACCAGTCAATTTAGCAGACGAGAAAAAACATTCCCAAAATAATTGACGTGAGCATTTGGAATTTCAAGATGTAACTGCTCAATTTATGATTTAATCTTAAATAATGATCCAATATAAAAATCAGGTTTTTTCCAAGGTTTTTCTAGTTTTATCTTTGAGTTCAAACGGTCTATCTTCAAGGCTTACATGGAAAGAAAGTTTTGCCACCGCTAAACGTTTTTTCTACTGCTTGATCGGATCAAATTGAACTAATTCATCCAAACGAACATCCCTAATTAATAATTGAAACCACAAAGACCATCCTTGAGGCCATAAAAGAAATTAGGGATTAAACTTGATGTTCTCAAAAAAAAAAATAGAGACTATTTATGAAGATTTGTCTTATTTTAAATAGAAATATAATATTTAATTATATATTTACATCACATCATTAATAATTTGTGATAAACCAATTAACTTTTAACGAATTAATAATTATCCGTTTTAAGTTCAACTACACAAGTAAAATAAAGGGAAGTGATTTGTACACAACAATTTTTCTCCATACACAACAATTTATATTTTATAGAGTTGTACAATACAACACTTTAATGTACAAATTATTATGTACGGAAAATTTTTATTATGTACGAATCAGTTCCCTAAAATAAACCTTGAAATACAATTCAAAATTCAATTAGTTAAGACATTGATTATACATGTATAAACTATTCATTTTTTTTTGTTTTACCTTTATATATACATACTAGGTAAATGGTTTGGTTATATTTTATATTTATGCCTCAAATAGACAAACAAAAAAAAAAGAGTTGTTTAAGATCGCGAAAATGTATAAAATAAACTAAACTTTCCGAACCATTTTATATAATTAATAATTTTTATTAGTATGTATTAATTCTCTTTTAATTAAAATAATGAAAAAAAATATGTATAAACCAAAACCCTAGCGACCGACTCTATATGAACAAATAGTAAAACTAACTAGGTATGAGACTCATGTATTATATATATTTATTTAAAAGAAAACATTAAATGTAAATTTCTAAACATTTGAGAAGTTTGAATTTTAAGAAAAATAAAAAAATATTAAATTATAAAAATTAAAGTGTTTTTTCTCTAAACTTAAACAAATAATTTAGATAAATAAATAAAGAAAATTAATGAAGCTTTAATTTAGTAATTTTGAAATTAAAAAGAAAATTCATTAAAGAAACTAATATGTATTTATTATTATATTTTAATATTATATGAAAATTCATAAAATAGAAAAACCATAAAACAAAATATAGAATAAAAATTAATTTAAAATAATCATTAAAAAAACATTCGATAAATTGAATAAAAATACGACAAATAAAAAAAGAAAAACTTTGATTGATAGGACTAGAGATTCGTTTGATATGTTATTTAAAATCCGATCCATTTTGCGATTTTATATGTTACCTTTGACACATAATTTTCTAAAGGGGTTGGCTAATAAGATATCCTATTTTATCATTTAGACAACCCTAATTAATGTTTGAAATATTTTTATTGGTTGAAATTGCATTGTTTTCCAAAAAAGATGATTACAAGAAATTGATTATAAGTTGACTTTTTATAAAAATAATTATAGGATGTCTAAGAGGTATCTTATTAGCATCACCCTTTTTTAAAAGAGAAGGATGAATTTTTAGGAGCTGACATTGGGGTCACGGGTAAGTGATGCCAGCGCAAATGATTACTACGATGGTCTAGCACACACCATAAAAAGTTCTCAATGGTCGGTTAAAAAAAAAGCACATCATCATTGGTGACCCCACCTTTGGACGGTTCTAATCCAACGATCTCAATCGCATCTCCATACCACGTGGCACCATCCAAACAACTTGGAGGTGGTTTACGACATATGCTGAAATTTAAAATTTGGGTCCCTACACAAACCAATTACCGACTGGCAACCGGCTATTTTCCTCCCTAAATCGTTGCATACTACACTACTATATATAACTGCCACTTAAGCAAACTCCAATCAAGCTTTCACTCCCTCACTCAAATACAAAAAATATATTACACTAAAAGTAAAAAAAATGCCAATCTCCAGTATTGCCATTGGAACTCCGGCGGAAGCAAGCTCGCCGGATGCCCTGAAAGCCGCCCTTGCGGAGTTCATTTCGATGCTCATTTTTGTTTTCGCCGGCGAAGGCGCCGGGATGGCTTTTGGTAAAACTATTGTATTTCTATTAATGTTAAATAATAAATGCGCCCACAAAAATATCAGAAAACGTGTTTTACAGAGTTCTGATTTTATTTGCAGGAAAGTTAACTGATGGTGGTGCAGCGACACCGGCCGGTCTTATTTCCGCATCAATAGCGCATGCTTTTGCGCTGTTTGTGGCAGTGTCGGTTGGTGCTAATATTTCAGGGGGTCATGTGAACCCCGCTGTGACATTTGGATTGTTTGTTGGTGGTCACATTTCGTTTATGAGAAGTGTTGTATATTGGATTGCACAGTGTCTCGGGTCCGTTGTTGCTTGCTTGCTTTTAAAATTTGCAACCGGAGGTTTGGTAAGCTAGTGAACAAAAATTTTAATCAAAACAACATAAATTGAAGAAAAAAAAAGTAAATTTATTTATATTTTGTGTAGGAAACATCGGGCTTTTGCACTTTCATCGGGTGTGGGAGAGTGGAATGCAGTTGTGTTTGAGATAGTGATGACTTTTGGACTAGTGTACACGGTGTACGCAACTGCGGTTGATCCTAAAAAGGGAGATTTGGGGATTATTGCACCACTAGCTATTGGATTCATAGTTGGTGCAAACATCTTAGCTGGTGGTGCGTTCGATGGTGCATCTATGAACCCTGCGGTGTCCTTCGGTCCAGCTGTCGTCAGTTGGACCTGGAACAGCCACTGGGTTTACTGGCTAGGTCCGTTTGTGGGTGCGGGCATAGCTGCACTTGTATATGAAATTATTTTTATCGGGTCAAATACTCATGAGCCTCTCACATCCGCAGATTACTAAGAATCCATTGGATGAAGTGATGGGTTTTAGCTTTTGAATTGTGTTGATGTTTGTTGGGTGTAATGGAAGGGTTTTTTTTTTTTTTTTTTTTTTTTTTTTTTCAAGTCTTTTTGCTATGTACTCATGTGAATAATTTTTGTATGTTCTGAATCAAGTTGTGAATTTTATTCATTTTGGTTCATTATTAACTGTCCCTTCAATAAAGGAAAAAATAGTCATCATTGAGTACAACCGAAATAAAACCAAACCTCAGAATGAAAATTTTACGTTAAGGAACAAAATATGCATATACGAAATTTTTTAGTTTACCCTAATGTAAATGTGCAATTATTTAAATACTAAAAGGTACATAGTTGCATAAACATACATATATAATTTTCTATGGTGAGTCTTTACTTTCTCTTTTTTTGTTTCTCATTACGGGTTCGTAGTTTTGAACGTCTTTGCTTGAACAGATAAAGGTACAGTTGTAACCATAGAAATGGGTAGCAGATAAGGACCACCTGGAACAAAAAAAAGTTTGAAAAGTATAAAGTTTATGAGCGAAATTTCCACAAAAAACATAAAAAGAAAATGAAAAGGGCATATAGTATATACCTTAACAAATGTATAGTAGGTGAAGGGGAGGACAGAAAAGTAATTTGCATAAAGGTTTTTCTCCATGATAACTGGGAGTGATTGGTACATAATCCACACTAAGAATAAGGAAAAATTGGGTCAGTATTTGCAATGTGTTAAAATTAGAAAACTGTTGAAGAATGTAACAAAGAAACCACTTACTTTCACCCAAAACCCCAATCGGATAAATCACGATGAAGGCTGTGTACCTAGCAAAAATGGTAAAAATAAATAAATAAATAAAGAAAAATCTTTATTTTCTCAATTTAATATGAAATAAATAAATCGAACCTGAGGTAGGTAATGAAAGAGGGACATTTACCCAAGCAACTCAAAGCATAGAACGGGTACCTAATTATCTAATTTATGAAAAATTGGTCAAAGTACTTTAATTTAATCATAATTTCATGAAGATAATGGAAGATAATGAAAGATAATGAATATAGGCAGTGGTTATAGAAAGAGAGAATTTAATTACCTCCATGCAACACCAAGCAACAAATGTAATGAAAACAGCTGGTGATTTTTGAACCTAGCTATGTGAAAACAGAAAACCAAAATGAGCAAAAAAAGGTAAGGAATTGTTGAAAATATCAAAATTCAGGGTAAATTGGAGAATTGCAAACCTCAAGTAGTCTGTGTACAATTGCAAGAACAAAATGTGTCCTTCCTCCCCATTGCATTAGAGGGAAGAGAAATCCACTAGGAACAATACCTTGAACACAAAAAAGAAAATATAAAAAACATAAATTTTAGATATATTAAGGTTTGGGGAGTTGTGTTATCCTCTTGTATATACCCACCTAAAGCTCCATGTAACACTTCTATGAATCCAAGAGTTTGTAGCAAGCCTGTTAACAACACAATTTTGTCAAGAATGCAACATTATTGTACTTTAATGTTATGTAGTAGTCAACATATGATAATGATATCTATAGAATAGCCTCTTCTAATACAGTTGCTTTTTCGAACTTTTTCAGAAATCATGAAAATCAGCATTGCTGCAGATACATGATACATTTGATGCATCTCGACAATTATGTGCCAAATTAACTAAAATTATAAGTTACATTGACGATTTTAACTCCTCAATGTTTGATATATGACTTACAAATCAGATCTCCAGCAGAAGCATACGCGCCGTTGATTGACTTCGTGGATACGAAGTCAATTAAAATTCTAAACAAAGCAATTGCCCTGAAATTCTCGAAAACGCCGAACGATGTCAGAACTGTGTGTGTATGAAGAGGAGATAGAGGAAGATGAACAATCATACCATCCTAAAGCTTGAACGGAGTTGTAAATGAAGAGATAGAGATTCGAGAGACTCGCCATCAGAAGTGAGAAGCTTTTAAGTTTGCTGCAACTCCAACGCCGGGCGGAGTGTTAGACTGGTGGATAAGAAAGATAGCGTTGAAGTGATTTAACGAGGGTGAGCGGTTTCCTTCACCGGTGGTGCTCTCACCCGTCTCGGTAATGTGATGGTGGTTATGCCACGTCTGGACGGGGACGTTTTTACTTTTCAACCTAAAAACAGGGGTGTTGTTAGGCTAAAGGGTGTGGTTGCGGTTTGGGGCCGCGGTTTGTGCCACCTCAGTAGCGCACACCGCCCCAGGCCGCGGTTCTCTGCGGTTTTGGCCGCAGTGCGGTAGCCCATGGCCGCACTTCTTTTTCTCTTTTCTCCTTTTTACTTGCATTCTCTCTCCTCCCAACCAATTATCTTCTTTCTTTTCTTTTTTCTTTCTCTCTCCTAACCTTTTTCCTACTCCCTCATTGCAGTTTCTAATTGATTAAATAAAAACAAATCTGAGTTGGCGTCTACGTGGCATAGGAGGGAGTGCGGTTTCGGTGGCACCACTCCCTCCAGTCTTATTGGTACCTAGTCAAAACCACCATTTGGATTACAACTCAAATTGAAATGACAACCGAACCTATTAGGTAGGCGGCTAAGGGAGTGGTGTGATTGAAACCGGACTCCCACCTATACCACTTAGATGCAAACTCAGATTTTTTCGTATTTCATCAATTTGAAACCACACTGTTGAAGTGAGAAAAAGGTTAGGAGAGAAAAGAATATATATATATATATATATATATATATATATATATATATATATATATATATATATATATATATATATATATATATATATATATATATATATGATTGGTTGAGAGAAGACAGAGAAAGAGCAAGTAAAAGAAGGGAAAGAGAAAAGGGAGCACGGCCACGGACTACCGCACTGCGGTTTTGGCCGCAGGAAACCGCATCCTGGAGGCGGTTTTTGCGGTCTATGTGGCAGCATTGCGGTTTGGAACCGCACTCCACACCCTACGGTCTTAAACAACAATATATTATATTTATTAATACTAATATTCATATGTTATTTAAATAAAAAGTCTCTTAGTTGTTTTTTTCCTTTTCATTTTTTTAAAAGACATTTTTTCTTTTCACAAATATATATATATATATATATATATATATATATATATATATATATATATATATATAAAAGAGCTTTCAATCGAAAACATTTCTTATCGCGAGAATATTTGAGAACAAATTTGAAAAACACAATTTTTTTAATTAAAATTATAAAATAATATTCATATAAATCAAAAAATAATTACAAACAATTAAAAAACTCACTAACTAACACCACTCACCACCCAACGACACCACCCACCACCACCACTCGCCAACACCACCCATCACTAACCACCACCACCAACTACCACCTACTACCCATCACTACCCACCACCCACCATCACCACCATCACCACCCAACCACCACCACTTGCCACCTCCACCACCCATCACCACCACTAGCCACCACCAACAGCAACCACTACATACCACCCATCACCACCACCCGCCACCATCACCTACTACCACACGCCACCACCACCCATCACTAACCACCACCACCAACCACCACTCACCACCCATCACTACCCACCCACCACCACCACAACCACCAACCACCTCCGCCACCACCATCACCACCACCACCCACCTCCACCGCCCATCACCACCACCTGCCCCCAACACCAACAACCACTACCTACCACCCGCCACCACCTACCACCCATCACTACCCACCACTCACCCACCACAACCCGTCACCACCACCCATCACTACCCACCACCACCACCAACTACCACCTGTCACCACCATTACCACCTAACCACTACCACCACCCATCATTACCTACCACCCATCACCACTCACCACCACCCGCCACCCCCACCATAACCGCCACCACCTACCGTCATCACCACCCAACCACCACCACCCGCCATCACCACCCATCACTACCCACCACCCATCACCACTCACTACCACCCGCCACCCCCACCATAACCATCACCACCACCAACCACCACGCGCCACCACCACCTATCACTACCCACAACCACCAACCACCACCCATCACTATCCACCACCTACTACCACCAACCATCACCACCACCCAGCACATACCCACCACAACCATCACCACCACCAACCACCACAACCCCCACCTACAAAGATTTATTATTGTGTTTTTGATTCATTATGTTTTCTCTTGTATATAATCACATGTGATTATATGTATCGAGTCACATATGATTATATGTATCGAATCATATATGATTTATATGTTATTAAATACATATAATCACATGTGCCTAAATACACGTGGTAAACTAGTGAATCGAGAATGCAAAAATGGATATTCTCCATGTAAATTATGTGTGATTAGATACATATAATTACATGTGATTATATGTATTTAATAAAATATTATTTACGTGGGTCGTATTTATTTTCGTGTTTTCGATTTAATAATTGGCATCGTGTATTAAATCACATGTGATTATATGTATTTAATCACATATGATTTATATGGATAATATATTTTTTTTTCACGTGTTGATTTAATAGTTGTTCTTGTGTATTTAGACAAATATATGATTCGTATGGAAAATATTTATTCTTGCGTCGATTCAATAATTGTTCTAATATATTTAATCACATGTGATTATATGTATTTAATCATAGATAATTTATGTGGACAATATTCATTATTTCTTTCTCAATTTAATAGTTGTACTCATGCACTTAATCACATGTGGTTGTATGTATCAAATCGCATATAATTTATATTGATACTAATCATGAGTCAATATTTTTTTCATATGTATTTAATCATATGTGATTGTATGTATTAATCACATATGATTAATGTATAAAAAGAAAAATTATTTAATCAAAAACACGAAAATGAATCTTGTGTACATAAATCATATGTGACTAAACGTACAAGAACAACTATTGAACAAGAATGTGAAAATGAATGTTGTCCATATAAATCATATCCAATTAGATACATATAA